ATTAAGCATTAGCATATAGTTAAGCATTAACTCTACATTAATAAATGTTAGTAAGCAGTTTATAACTGCAGCTACAAATGCTGGATTCTTGACTTACTGTATAAGCACCTATATAATGTGCTTAATTATTGTATTTTCATACTTTAAGGATTTTTTCAGTACTAAATTATGTATTGCACTATTTACGAACCAGGTATTTAAGCATAGTTGGTTGTTTGATGATTAAATGATTTAATGATTAAAAAACTATTCAAATTACTATTTATGTATCTTATTATTCAGACATGTGTTAATAGGTAATTTGTATGTTACAAAAAGCTTTATTAACTCAACTTCATGCCGTTTTGTGACCTAATCTAAAGTGAGGACTATTTATGCTTTATAGATCTCTTATAAATGACAATTAAAGGCTCAGTTAAATTCTAAACAGGAAAAAAGAAAATAAACAACTGCATTTATTTCTATTCATTTAAAGATACACAAATGAAACTGTATCGAATAAAATGCATATATTTGCAATCTTTAACCTTTAATCTTTAAACATCTAAACATAGTTTAAATATTGCTTAATAACATTAAAATGTTGTATTATAAAATGCTGTTAAATTATTATATTCCTTTTTTTTATCCAACTTTGTTCTATTTTGACACTTGTTATTCAGCAATGTTTAATTTTTATACAGTAATTTTATTCTTTAGATAGTATTGCAAAGATTATTGTTAATTTAATGTAGAGTAAATGCTTAACAAATAATGAATTCACTATATGCTAACGCTTAATAAATGGTTCATAGTGTGTAGCTAATTTATAGGTTTACCAATGATTCTTATAAACTGGTTCTTTTTAGTAAATCAGGTACATCCAACATCTGATTCATAAACGAATGGTTCTTTCAATGTTGTGCAATTAACTGAACTTCAAGAAGTCATTAGCTTTAATAATATCCTACTGGATATTGTTCTTTTATACTGTGCATTTTATGATTGTAATCTCTCTTTTTAGTATGTTCATCAGTTCAGGATGGTGGAAATGCAGCACATCATCAACCAAAACCATTTTCTTTTTATCACTTTTCATGTTGTTTTACTGATATCTTGATATCTGTTCATTCCAAACTGTTTTGATCTGCCTAGATTTTCCCTTCTGTCCTTCAGGAATGACTTTGAGACATTTCTAATTAAAACTCCATACTTTCCATCCTGTGTTACTGTAATTTGACATCTCTGTATCTCTCTCTCTCTCTCTCCCCATGAACAGTTGCTACAGAAGATGGTTATAGCTGCCTGCGTAAATGTCCGTACGGAGGTATTGTAGATACTGCCAAACTACTGTTAACACCTGCAGCTTATTATGCAAAATGACGTTCCAGCACCGCTCGACCCCAGATGTGCTGTGAAATCACAGAGCCTCCTGATATTAACCCTCAGATCTGTCCCTCTTCCACTGTATAATCACAGCTGTAATGCCAAGCCCAGTTTCACCGCTGTTATTGTCCTGCTCTCAATGACACTGTCTCATGTGTCTGTTACTGTAGATTTTGCCTTTCTTAGGCCTTTATTTAGTTTGCTAGCCCCACTCTGAAGTGACAACAACTATGGATAGAGATCCGTAAGTTGTTTAAAAAACAATCCACACTTTTGCAGGTGACAATAAAGCCTCTCCATGTGAAACTGCCAAATCGGAAGGGATGGTCCACACCATTCCTGTAGGCATGGGATCTTCCTGTGGAAGAAATGGCTGTGTCGGCCATATTCCATGTCACTGATTTGAAATATTAACACACTAATGCCTCCCTACAGAACTGACAGCTTTGGAAAATATGCCTTTTTTTTGTCTTTTTCAGTCAAGGTCATGCTAAAAGCCCCTGGGTACAAAGATGTTGGATGTTATTATAGAAGATGTGTGTCAGAGAGAAAACACTGACATAGACAAGCCTGGTCGGAGTCATTTTTGCCATTTTGTTTTTCTACCAAAAACAACAACGTTTCATTCAAATGTATTTTATTGTTGTGTGTAATGGTATCCTTTAAAGAAGAATTACATGAGGGATTTAAAATCAAGTTAAAGTCAGCATGAACCGGAAGTTTCTCAGACTTTCTCAGAATTTTAGTATATTGTTAAATGTGCAGACTTTGATTGAAGATATCCAAAAAATATTTAGTTTTTTAGTGGATTAGCTTGCACAGATTAATTGTTCACCTGCAGAATAAAAATGTGCGCTAGCAAAATAAACATTGTATTTTGATTTCACATGGACTTTATAGACAGATTTGTTGGACACACGTGAAATTTGCAGTTTTGGAATTAAAAAAAATATATATATTAATGAAAATATTAATGAGTATCTTGTATTGTTTCATGTTTGTTTCACATGTGAGTTTACTGTGTGATTGCATATGTGATGCTTCATGTGTTTCTGTAAGGCAGTGTTTCTCAACTGAGGGGTCACATCCCAAAAGATGGTGACCGAAGCCTTTTTAAGTGGATCGCGTAGAGTTTTTATGATGAATAAATTTAATTTTGAAAGACTTGTGCGAGAGCTGTTGATGCTTCTGTCAGACATAGTTCATGAGAGTGAGCGTTACAGTCCTTTCATTTGGGATTTTCAATGGGCGAAATTCAAAAATTCACTGGCGGTGGGCAGGCAGTACACAAGAGGTCGTGTTGTTTAAATAAATGTATGATTTTTCGGCAGACAGCCCTTAAGATAAAATATTTTATCATTTTATGTGCCAATCACATTGGCTTTAACCAATTACTGAACATTCAAAGACACAATTACAACATGACACACAATCAAAGAACGCTGAAAACTTGATTGTAGTTTTTGTGTAAAAACGCTGATTCTGACATGAAAATCAATTTACTGTAGTCGTGTTTCTTTAAAACAATTAATAAAAGTATCACAAGCGCAAGTTTGTTATTTGTACAAACTCTCAGCTAAGGAAAATTTACTTCATCGCTTTATTTTAAGAAGCAAAAGAAATTACCAGCATGGAATTTCAATGTGCAACTATGGTGGCTTATAGCCTATTACTTTACACATTTGATTGTATCAACAAAAGTAGTTTGGGAGTGATATTTCAGGCTAATAATTATGGGATAAAGTGGGTCCCATGATCAAACCAGTTGAGAAACACTGCTGTAAGGGATAACATGCTTATTCATAAACTTTATCTTCCAACAGGTGTGTCCAAACTGTCAATTATTAAAAAGGTATAGTCAAAGGCATGTAAAGAGTCACAGAAAAACTTTTAATGTATAATACTTTCCTGTAATATTTGTATTTTGTTTCAGCTTTATTTCAATTGCGGGTACAATTTTTAGCATATAGTGTTTGAGTGAAGTATCAAAACAAATCTTTTCCGTTTCTAAGGTCAGTGTGAACCTTCTTATTTCTAGTGGTGTTGTGTTCTTAGCACACAGTGTCCTTACCAGTTGCAATGGGCTTGTAATTTGCCTGTCCTCACTAAAAGCAAAAACAGTGCACAATAACAATCTCCTGTTGATGCTGGTGAGGACACAATGACGTAAATTCTGATTTATTTTCAGTGTATTGCATTGGCATGTTTTTAGTCATCATATAATCCTAAAATCAAGTCTTTTGTCCTCTGTGGATGTGCACCAGAAATGAGTTTGGAGATATATTGACTAGTTAGTCCACAGCGTTGTTTCATTTAGTTTTTAAGGCTTTAAAAGAAGGTTTTTAAAGAGAGTCAACTGAAGATTAAACTTTTCTGTTAATGTGCCTATCCTCAGGCCTTTTGTTTTCAGTAGAACATTAAATATGTTTTTGGACCTCTGAATATTACTGTATTGTAAGCCAATGGTCACTGGTAATTTTAGTAAAAAAAAAAAAACCCTTACAGGCAAACAACAACATTATTACCTGTGGCTCCTCACCGTAAGTCCTAAAGAATTTTTAAATTCGCAAGTACCATGCTTTCAACTTTTAAATCTTTTTTTTAACCCTTGTGTGCTATTGGGGATGTTTTCATGTAATCTGTGGTGATTTTTAAGTTTTAATTGGTTTCAGCAAATGGAAAGATTTTTAGTGACATCTTATTTTGAAACAAATTTTTGAAAAATTTCAAAGCATTTTCCCAAAACATAACAATACACGGGTAGTGCTGTCACCTCACAGCAAGAAGATCGCTGGTTCGAGCCTCGGTTGGGTCAGTAGACGTGTCTGTGTGGAGTGTGCATGTTCTCCCCGCGTTCCTGTGGGTTTTACTCCATAGAATACCATATAAAAGCCAGGAGCTTTTTGCACAGGCCTATCTAAAGGGGTAATGCTTCCAACTGATGATCAACAGTAAACAATAACACGTTTTACTTATTCCCAGCAGGAAAAACCACCAACAATCAATTATATATTATTATTGTCTGTCATGGCTTTGCAATAAAAAAAATGTCATTATAATGTAAGACATACGGGGGCAAAAACAACCACGAACACAACCAAAGAGTAGTAAATTTGAACAGTGCACAGCGATTAATGTTCTACTAAAGTAAAATCACATCATTACCTTTGGAGGGTAAAATTAAACGGAAAATAATTCTGATTTATAATTTTTAATATTAAAGTTTTGTTTGTTAATAATGCCTAATGCATTTAAATAATGTTTCCTTAATATTATACATAACGCAGTCTTTGTTTTAAATGAATCATCATTTTGCTGTTTACTTGAACGGTGGACTCTCTCTTTGACTTGCTACATCCCTGGAGAGAGAGAGTAAAGCTGAGCTGCAGAAGCCATTAACTGGCAGACATTAGATCATAAAAACCGCAACAGGCCCGAGCATTTTAACGATACTTGGAAGAGACTCAACATTTTCAGTTCTACTGAGCGCCAGGTCTAACAAGGTCATTTCGCCCATTCTGATTGGCCGACTGCCTCTCTGCTCTCATGTATCCGTTCATGCGGTGCAAAAGCTTTGTGAACCATAAACACTGAACAGAATATCAATCTCTTTTTTTTCCAATCTCTCCCTTCAGGCTATGACTTCGCTGCGGTGTTGGAGTGGTTCGCCGAGCGCGTAGACCGCATTATCCTCCTTTTCGACGCCCACAAGCTGGACATCTCAGATGAGTTTTCAGAGGTCATCAAGGCCCTAAAGAACCATGAAGACAAGATCCGTGTGGTGCTCAACAAGGCCGACCAGATCGAGACACAGCAGCTGATGCGAGTTTACGGCGCCCTCATGTGGTCACTGGGAAAGATCGTAAACACGCCGGAGGTGATTCGTGTCTACATTGGCTCTTTTTGGTCGCATCCATTGCTGATTCCAGACAATCGCAAGCTGTTCGAAGCAGAGGAGCAAGACCTGTTCAAGGATATACAATCACTTCCTCGCAATGCCGCTCTTCGCAAGCTCAACGATCTGATCAAGAGGGCCCGTCTGGCTAAGGTAAATTTGAATTTCTGTAGGCTAATCTTGTCAACGAATAACCCACCTGAGATTTCAGCAAAGTAAAGGCCTGTTTTCACCAAGGTCAATAGCTTAGTCCGGAAACTGTGACCATTTCTTCTTTTTCTTCCCATTGTGCCGCATTTCCAAGAGAAACTGAATACTAGATGAGGAAACAGTGGGTGTGGCTTGTTTTTTGACTGCGAGCTGATTGGATGTAGTAAAGTAGGCATTTCGTTCAGAAAGATCGGGAAAGGGTTTGGGGAGAGTTATTATGACCAAATATACACCTTCTCCTGTCCATTTCTGTTTTTTGACAGTCCGAGTAGCGTGGTTAAGCCCAATACCCCACAAAGACGTAATCTGACAATTTAACTAAAAACAAACAGAAAGTGCGTTTTCAGATTTCAATTTTAGATAACATGGGCATCATTTTTTACCTAATAACATGAATTGTTAACCTCAAAGCTAGCAATGCGAGTTAACACAATCAGTATGCTTAATTTTGATTTCATGTGTACTTTAAGGTAAAAATTTACTTCTGCTTTCAAAAGAATAGTCCACATCCATTATAACAATAATGGAACCGAGGAAACATATAAATATAATCACTTACAGAATTCTTTTTTCCAGCTCATAAACAGTAAAAATGCAGACAGCCAATCAAATTCCATGGTGCTTTGTAGAGATTGAATACTTAAAACCAGATCCACTCTTATGATAAACACAATGCTTTCGTGCACTGCTGCGGACACTGAAATAGCTTTCTTTATAGTTCTTATCTTAGTGTGAATGAGCCTTAAAACATTAGTCACATTCACTTGAACACTTGTGGATTCAGTTTGGAATGAATTCATTGAAATTCATTCATTCAATTCAAAGTGTTTGCATGAACTAAATAATGTTATGAAGGTAAATGTAAGCATTAACATGTCATAAGCTTAAAATTGGACTCAGAATTTAAACCATTAAATACAGAATTGACGGAATTACATTTAAGCACAAAATATCCAACTTTTTTGCATACTATCCTTTATCTCCTTTTCTTTGTTTTAAAAATCATCAAATATGTATCTGTTTCTGGCCATACATAGGATGGGACACAAGCAAGCAAAGCTTTGTGCAAGGCTTCTCATATTTATTAGGCAGTAAAAAAGAAATGTATACTGACACAGCAGTCATTTATTATATTTAATTGCAATATTCGTTTTTTCTGCATATCCTACATCACATTATGTAAATGTGTCTGTTTGTGCACAAATATCTCCAGTTGTGTTCTTCAGTTTAGAGATGTGTTTACATTTTCTGTCAGTCGGTTTGGAAAAAAGTACCCCACCTCTCTCAAATTGATTGTCATGTCAATTGTTTTTTTTTTTGTTTTTTTTTCCAAATAAGTTTTTTCAATCAGATTGTGATTTTAAGCTAAACGTAATCAGAATTTAACGAATGCTCCATATAAACACACTTACTAAAAATTTTATGTAAAGCATTATAACAACTGATCATTAGTATTTTCTCAAAGTATTTTCACTTTATTATTATTATTATTATTATATTAGAGCTCAAAATAATGTATTTAAAGGATGTCTTTATGCAGTTCTTTTTACACAATGTTAATAACAGCAAAAAAAACAGCAGTCAGCACAGTTCATTTTTTGGGGTGAACTAATGCTTTGGTTTCTGAAGCCACTAATGAAACCATGTGTAGGAAAACTTTGGCCAGCAAGTGATGTTGAGACAAAAACAAGCACTTATGGTTTTATATGCCTGTGTTCAAAAGGGAAAATATTTAGTGTGTGTGATTCAGAATAAAAGCTCTCCATTTCTGCATTTATTCAGTTGACTTGCTGTGAATGCTGCAGCAGTTTCAGCATGTGTTTGATGTGGTTCAGCATATAACCCTAGTGTAAAAGTAATAGCAGTATATCCATGCAGTTTGTGTGTTTATAGGCATTTTGTCTGTCTGATCTTGCAGACTTTGCACAGTAATGGGACCATTTTCCAAACTGTACGTCTGCTGAGGTGGCTCAGTGTGTGACCGATGTTTTGCTATATTTTTGATCAAGACTGTCTTCCGAGATTTGTTGACTCGCTCCTCCCCTACACATCAGGCACATAATATTTGCAGCTCAGACTCATCGACAATACATGCCTCAGCCTATATTATTGTGAAACAAAAATACGTTGCTCATTGTGCATTTTGTTGTACGTTTCAAATGACAGATCTACTAGTGGCCACTGTTTACATTTTTCGAGTATGAAATGCGTTACTTAGGGCAGTGATCCTCAACCTTTTTATCACCACAGAATGGTCAACATTTGAAAATAGCCGAGAAAATACAGTCATTTTTCTAAATAAATGATTGTTCAGACTCAGATAATAAATAAAACAAAAATATTTAATAATTTCTTGTGTGGCCAGGTACCAATTAAACCACGGACTGGTACTGGTGTGCGGTCCAGGGGTTATGGACCAATGACTTAGGGTATATTTTGTTTTACGTTTTTGATACACGTCCTTCTTGTTCACATCCACAAGAAGGTGGTGCTTTTCATACACATCACCTAGACCAGCTAACCACTGACCTAAACCATTTCTAAAAACAACCAATAGTGTTTTCAAAAGCAAACACAAGACCAAAAGTACACTTACCATGCCAGAAAAGTTGTCCATATAAGAAGATAGATGGATGTGGCAAACATATTTGATTACAAATCATAATAACTGTTAAGTTGTTTTGTGTTTTTATTTGGTTTTGTGCAAAAAAATAAAACAACACAGCATGAAAATAAAACAATAAATTTTGACAATAAAATTCCCTATAAATATCATTAGTGTGAAAAGAAACATAAGTCGGTGATTTTATACTATCACATACAGTATCATACATTGTACTCAGAAACTGCAGTCAAGTGCATTTTTTATTGTTTTTTGCAGTTTCGCAAAAACAAAAAACAAAAAACGAAAGGATGAAGCATGTATTTCATGTGAGTTGGTGTTGAATTTTTGCCTCCTAGTTCGGTTTAAAGGAAGGAACAAACTCAAGGTCATTCATAAGCATGTCTTTATGGGGAATGACGGGTATCTTTCAGCACATCTAATTCCAATTAATTATCTGACCCCTGAGTGGAGTTCAAGGACTTTCTTTGCATTTTGCAGTCTTGTGCTTTAGATGCACCTGATTTCCTGCCAAACCATGTCCTCCTTGGACTTGCTTTGTCAATATAATTACTTAATTACTTGCCTATGAATTATCACTTTTATTTAAAGGGAGTTCACTCAAACATTATTTTCTTTAACATTCTTTAAACCCCTTTTTTTTTCCTCTTTAAAAGTTAACAAAAAGTGACAATGTAAAATTTGACTAAACATATAAATGTTTAATTTACTTACCCATCAAAGATGTAGGTTACGTTTTATCAGTAGTATTTTTAGCAATGCAAGTCAACAGCTACCATCAGTATGTGTCAGAAAACATGATTTCTGAGTATACAGTATATCAGTTTAACAAGATGTCATTTAACATGCTTTGTAGAGAATGATTGTGCTAAACACTGATCAAAAGCAGCTTTTTTGATTTCTTTCATATGTGCCATGAAATCTATTAATGCTATAGAATTATAACATTTACATCACATTTCAAGGCAATTTTACCTTTAAAAGGGTACCAGGAGTCTCATTTATAAAGGTGGCATATGCAACATCCCACACAAAAGTTGTGATCCAAAAAAAAACTAACTTTTTAACAATGCAAGTCAACAGCTGCCAGCACTATGTGTCAGAAAACAAATAAAGCCGTGGTTTCTGACTTTATATCGGTTACTTAAAGTGTAATGATTAACCTGTATTCCAGGATAACCAGATACCACTCCGTAATGTTGTCAAACATAAGGCTGTCAATAAAAAGAAAACCAAAACAATCTGATGTCATTTAATTTACTGTACATCTGAAATCCTTTATTATCCCCTTTAGTCCTAAAAACACACGGCCTGGCTTAAAGAGAAGGAAATGTCGGGAACTGTTAGTACTGGTCAGTTGTATGTCATCAGATTCAGCTGCATGCATTAAAAAAAACTTAAAAATGTGTCCCGGTCCCTTACCCTGATCATACAGATGTGCTTCCCCTCCTGTCATCATTATTACAGTCACCTTCCTTCCACACAGGGGCCGAGCCTTTCACTATCACAGATGACAATTTATTTGGTAGCTTGTGGGTAGCTACTATTCAGCTTTGTAGTGAATGTTTGTGCTAAAGACAGTGGTCAAAAGCAGCATTTTTATTTCTTTCATCTCTGCATTTTAATCTATAAAGGCTATAGAGTCATACAATGGTCATAACATTTTGGGACTTTTCAGTATGTTACATCTCATTTTCGGGCAGTTAAAAGGGGCTGTAAATTCATATCTAGTATCTTTTATAGTCTATTATATCTAAGTTATATCTATTGTATCTAAATAGTATATCTTTTTATGAACGTGGTGTAAGGACAAAACGGTGGCGGAAATGTGCGTTACTACTGCCCTTGCGAAAATAGTTGTGATTTTTTTAAAAACTAACTGGATGGGAGAATGTGCGCAGATGTTAGTGAACTCGAAGTAAACATATTTCACTTTAATTGAGGTTATAATTGAACTAAACAGAAATCTGATTAAGCCGTGGAGTATGCTGATTATAGTCATATTGTTGAAGTTCGGTACAGATATGTAAACACTTTAATAAAACTATTATCATCATGTGGAACTTTTCGACAAATTTTGCGACGGGATAGTGCATACACACACGGCTGACACTATTCTCTGCCTTTACCAAGTCAGATAAGGACCACAGACACATACACCACAAAATGCAGAGGTTTTTTTCTCCCATTTGGTGTGCGGTATGAAATTCTGCGTCCAATATCTCATTTGTCATGGCAGGCTTTCCCAAATGAAAGTGAAAGTGCCAAACTGCAGTTGAAGTCGACAAATTAAAAATGAAATACCCAAAATGACATGAAACTCTGGAATAAATGTGCATAGCGTAATCACGCAATGACGGTAATCGAATTATGTGCTATAACATAAAATGGGATGATGAAAGGAACATTCTAAAAGCAACTCATGTAAACACCTTAATCATGTTATTATCTTATTCAGACTTGGGCAAATAATTACTTATGTCCCTGTAAGAGTAGTCATTGACTCAATTGAACCACTTTAAATCCTCATGTGAGCCATAATCGTTAATGAATATACATTTATTCTGATAGTAGGTCACTTATAGGAAGTTTCTAGGAATTTTTCTATGGAAATTTTATAAATCAGACTTCTGGTTATTATTAATGTACATATATATATATATATATATATATATATATATATATATCTATGAGGACCAGACAACTTCCGCTACATTTGCCGCCATCCTTGAGGTCATACTGAACCACGGTACATCTAAACGAGACTGAATGAAATCGATGTTTTGTCAAAAAAAAAAAACTAATTAAATACTTGTTATGATCCTTCTGATGATACCTTAAACTGTGTTTTGTCCCTTCAAATCTGCAACTTGTCTGTTTTAACTTACTTTTGTGTACCTTTATTTATAATTTTACAACTTTTTGTTTGTGTGGTCGCAATGTTTAGTACCTTTGTGTAGCCTCTTGTTTACTTGCATGATAATTAACACACTGCAATCCTGTGTGTTTCTGTGTGAAATGTTTTACATGAGAAAACGTTTATATTAGTATTAGTATTATGCTTTTTACATACCCTGTAAATTGAAGTCAGAATTATTTGCCCTCCTGAATTATTAGCACCCCTGAATATTTTTTCCCCAAATTCTGTTTAACGGAGAGAAGATTTTTTTCCACACCTTTCCAAATATTATGGTTTTAATAACTCATTACTAATGACTGTTTTTGACTTTGCTATGATGACAGTACATAATATTTTACTAGATATTTTTCAAGACACTAGTAATTAGCTTAAAGTGCAATTTAAAGGTTTAACTAGCTTAATTACACAAGTTAGGGTAATTAGGCAAGTGATTGTATAATTATGGTTTGTTTTGCAGACAATTGAACGAATTATATTGATTAAGAAAGAATATTACAGAAAATACAATGTAAAATTCCTTACTCATATTATGTTAAACATAATATGGGACATATTTGAAAAAGAAAAAAAAACTTTTCTGGAGGGCTAATAATTTTGATCATGTTCTTGAAAGTTTGAAACTGTCTTGCCTTTAAACTAATAAAAGGTTTTGTTCTTGTGCTCTCGCAGGTCCATGCATACATCATTAGCTCCCTGAAGAAAGAGATGCCCTCAGTCTTTGGGAAGGACAACAAAAAGAAGGAGCTGATTAACAGCTTGGGTGAGATCTACAGCCGCATTGAGAGGGAACACCAGATTTCCCCGGGAGACTTCCCTAATCTGAAGAAAATGCAGGTAATGTCATTTGAACCAAAACAAAAAGAGTGAATGATTCAATTTAGATTCAGTCGCTCAAGTTTTAGTGCATGTTTAAAACAATGAAGTGACATTCAGAGCAGCTCTAGAGATAAAGTTTAGGTCTTCACATCCTCGTGTAGCAAAACATCCAGCTGTGAAAACACTCAGCTTCACAATTTCACACAGAACATTTTGAAGAGTGGTATATTTTTTGTGTTGTAATATTCATAGACATTATTTAAGCTTATTATTTAATTATATGTATACTTTTGATTTATATAAAGCTCTCGAAACCTACCTGGGCTCGAGGACCTTCTGAGCTTAGGGCTCTCTCCCAGGACAGCATGCCAAACACACTTTACATCCAGGATAAGGTGACACGGCATCTCAGTGGTTAGCACTGTCGCCTCACAACAAGTAGATCACTAATTCAAGTCCCAGCTGGGCCAGTTGGTATTTTTGTGTGGAGTTTCCTTCCACAGTCCAAAGACATGCAGTATAAGTGAATTGAATAAACCAAATTGGCACAGTATACGAGTGCTTTAGTACTGGGCATTTACTCAATAACCTCAATAATCAATGAATAGGCTGAACGAACGAACAAATTCAGGGCAGTACTCGAGATCTACCCAGGCTCAAGGATCTTCTGAGCTCAGGGCTCTCCCCCGCTACAGCATGCCAAACATGCTTTAAATCGAGGATAGGGTGGCACTGCCTCTAAGTGGTTAGCACTGTCGCCTCACAACAAGTTGATCACTGATTCGAGTCCCGGCTGGGCCAGTTGTCATTTCTGTGTGGAGTTTGCATGTTCTCCCTGTGTTTGCATGGATTTCCCCTGGGAATTCGGGTTTCCTCCCACAGTCAAAAGACATGCAGTATAAGTGAACTGAATAAACCAAAATGGCACAGTATATGAGTGCAGTAGTTGGTAGTTCATTCCACTGTGGCAACCCTTATAATCAAGGAATTGGCCGAACAAGTGAATTCCGGCCAGCTCTCGAGACCTACCCGAGTTCAGACTCCATCCACTCTGGATGATATGGGAGGGATACCCGGACTCGAGGATCTTCTCAGCTCTCTCCCGGGATAGCATGCCAAACACTCTTTATCATCAATCATCAACTTAGTGTGAACTCTTCAAGACTAGTTTCCACAAATCCATCTACTGTACATTCGTCCACATCATGAAAAAACGTAGGGCTGTATGCATGTTTTGGAAATGCCCTCTATGACAATGGACTTTTTTGGCTTGTAAAATTGTGACCACACCTTAAGAATGCTGTTTATAAAACTGTTGCTTCAACTCAACAACCCTATAAACAAATGAACGCTGAGTCATTTGCATTTCAGACAAAATTTGGCCGGCTAGTTTGTATGTTTCTTCTCCGCCAATGAAACCATTTCCAAAAGAAGCCTTTTCATATTTTTCGAGCTGCAACACCCTGACACAGCCCTTCTGGAACTGAATATGTAAGGGGAGTGGAGCTGTTTTGCTCTTGCAGTATCAACAGATGTTGACAGGATCTTTTGTTACAACTTACAAGTGCTTCTTTCTCTTGGTTTCTTTCCCACTGAATAGGAGCAGCTTCAGGCACACGATCTAAACAAGTTCCAGCCTCTAAAAATGAAGCTTTTGGACACTGTGGATGATATGCTGGCCCATGACATCGCCCAACTTATGGTTCTGGTGCGCCAAGAAGAAACGCAGCGTCCTAACCAGGTGGTGAAGGGTGGTGCTTTTGAGGGCACCATGAACGGGCCGTTTGGACATGGATATGGTGAGGGAGCTGGAGAGGGCATTGATGAAGTAGAATGGGTTGTGGCACGTGACAAACCCATGTATGATGAAATCTTCTACACTCTCTCGCCTGTCAATGGCAAAGTGACTGGGGCCAATGCCAAGAGGGAGATGGTGAAGTCCAAGCTGCCAAACACTGTGCTGGGAAAGATCTGGAAGCTGGCTGACATTGATAAAGACGGGATGCTCGATGACGAGGAGTTCGCCTTGGCCAACCATTTAATTAAGGTCAAACTTGAAGGTCACGAGCTGCCAAGTGATCTGCCCGGGCATCTCGTGCCTCCCTCCAAGAGGAAAGTTCCAGAGTAAGATTTCGGAGTGAATATAGTGGATTTAGATTGCTTTTAAATTGTGAATGATTGGACTTTATTATAGGAAAAGAACAAACAAACTTCCTTCAAATGTATGGTTTATGCTTCACTAGGAGGAATGGATTTGAAAATGATCCACCTTTTCAACTCTTTTGACCTGTGTATGTTTTTATTTTGATTTTGATTTTAGTTTTAGTTTCTTTTTTTATGAATGATATTCTTGTCAGCAGTGTGTTTAAAATCATTTTGCGTGTGCTTTTATGGATTTTACAGTCAAAGGTTTTGTCGTTATTTCAGTTTCATCTGTTGTGACTCGGAATATGGTGTCCTAACAAAATGTTAATCAAAACAATAACTAAAGCCAGGCTTAGACTGCTGGAGTTTTTCAATCTAAACCGATTATGAAATCTGATTATATCTTCATAATTTCCCTTCAAATTTCAAACATGTGCCCGCTATATAATTGGAAAATCATGGTATGTATACATACACCGTAAAACCCAACAGTCAACTTTATCAAGTGAAATGAGTGTAATGAACTCCAAATTTGCTGAAAGTTTATTCTACTTGTATGAAAATGGTTTCGAACTCAGTGTTTAAGGTAATGAGTTAATTAAATACCGCATTACTTCAACTTAAATGGAGTAAGTTCACAGTACTCGTATAGATTAGTTTTTTAACTCAAATGGTTTGTAGCAATTGGTTTCTCCAGTTTGAGTTGATTTAACTTATTGGGGTTTACAGTACTCGATTAGTTTGAGTTCTCTTCATTTTTTGGGGTTTTACTGTTTTCGAATTACTTCGTGTACTCAAATGGAGTAAGTTCACAGTATTCATTAGGATTATTTTTTGAACTTAAACCATTTGAGGAAACCAATTTCAACAAACCATTTAAGTTGCTTTAACTTTTTGGGTTTTACAGTGTACACTATAAGATATAAGGATAATTGCATGATCTTACACAGAGGAGCATCACTGAAGTGTTAACTGGTAATGTTTACATTAGTTAGCTAGCATGTTAGCTTCAAAACTAAGGAGTTTTAGTCATTTTTCAAGACGCAAAAAATCCTTCAAGAAATCAATTCGGCATTGATTCTGAGATTATTCAATCGATTCTGAGTTTACACTGTAAAAAGTGATTAGTTGCTTAAAGCGAGTAAACCAATTGCCTTAAAAGCAAAAAGTTGACTTTACAAAAATAATGCAAGTAAACCTATAGTAAATTGGAACTGTTACGTTGACTTAATTTTTATTTGACTTGATTTGAATTTTAATTCACTTTTTAAGAAGAAAAAAAGTAAACCAATCACTTTTTTCCGATATACCTTTATTTTATTTGGGTTTTTTTCCAGCTTTTCTATATCTAGCAAAATGACAGTAATTAAAATGAATCTGCTCTTCCAGACTCCAGTGTCTCTAATTCAATACAGACTATAAGTGTAGATTTTATAGACTTAATGACGTACCAAATATGTAATATTGTGATAATTACATTAATTATTTAAAAACAGACTGCTAAAATAGTCTGACACTGTAAAAAGGGATTAGTTCACTTTAAAAAAAAAGTTAGTATAATTAGCATAATTATAAAAGTTAAGTCGACTGAACAGTTCCAAGTTACCATGGGTTTACTTGCATTACTTTTGTAAATCAACCTGTTGCATTTAAGGCAATTGGTTTACTTGTTTTAAGTAACTAATCACTTTTTACATTGTAATTTTTTTACAAAAGATGGTGCCAGAAGATGATTTGTTCCAACACAAATCAATTAAGTTAACTTGTTGAGTTGTCCTTCATAAAAACTCAAGAATTGTGTTGATTCAGCGTATTTTAAATTAAGTAGTTTAATCAGTCATCAAAAATACCGTTTTGAGTGTTGGCTGAGTCATTTAACATTACTTTAATGTTATGAGATTAATGTAAACGCAGCTCACTTTTAATTCTTTCAAATCTTTCCTTATATATTAATGATTATTTTAGGTTTATGTGGTATTTATAAGAAATTGGATGCAAGCAGCTTACGGCTGTTTGTAAAGCATTCAGTGCCATCTACTGTTAAAATTTCAACTCAAAAGAGAATGGTGATGCATTTTAAAAATCGCAGAATCAATTTCTCACACTATATAACACCATGTCACCATGTACTGCAGCTTGTTTTTCAGTCGTGCATTGGCTGTTGTTGAAATTCTGATGTAATAGCCATCCTGATTTAATATTCTAAATATCAAACAGGTTTGATTCAGTATGATCGGGCGGCCCCCATGCATTAGCAAACAATCTGTAAACATATTAGCAGCACAGTTGGGCTGATTTTTCTTTTTTCTCAGATTGAAAACTCCTTTAGTTCAGCTTAAAATGGCACATTCTGGTATTCACTTCTTTCCATTTTAGCAGAATCTTATTGATTCACCTAACTACATAACACATCAGTATCTTCTAATTGGTTGTCATTATGTTATTATGCATAGCTATGTTGTGTTCAGATGAACTGTCGCATGGTTAGGACATTGCTAAGTTGTTTTAGCAATTTATTTCACTTTCACATTCAATTTACACTGCTATTCAAAAGTTTGGGGTCATTTAAGATTGCAAGAAAGTCTTGTTTAAATGTGACTTCCATTAGCCATTATTACAGTCTTCAATGTCACGCAATCCTTCAACTATCTTTTTAATATTCATATTGGGTGCTGAAGTAACATTTACTATCCATGTTGAAAGCAGCTGCTTATTTTTAGTGGAATATTTGTATTTTATTTGATCAATATTAAAAGATATGTCACTTTTTGTCAATTTAATGAAAACTTTCTGAAAAAATTAATTTTTCTCTTATTTACTGACCTCAAAGTTTTGAACAGTGGTGTATATCCGTCTCATCTGTGTCTCAAAAGCGGCGAGACATCAATTACTGCAGAAAAAATGTGAATCTTATTCTGAATCTTTGTTAATCTAGCTGGTAAAGTCTACAAAGAAAAGCGAAATTCCTTTTATAAGTAGATGTAATTGTTCTTCTCTTCTTGTTAAGGCGGCATCTTAATGAATGCGAGTCCTTTTAGCCTGACCAAGAGACTGTTAAAACTGTATAGCCGTCATGTCAGAAGACTAAATGTTTAGTGTTTTGATGGACCCGTAGAGCTAGTATCCTTGTCAATAGTATACCGTATACGTGATTAACTAACATATCTAAACTACCTGGGATTACCGAATGTTTATATAATTCCAATTCGAGTTACAAAGAAGACAAAAAAAAATGCTGTGAATTTCTCTTCCTGAGCATTTCTTCTTGCACATGCTCATTGGAAGAGCAGCAGCTTTGGATCAAAATACGTATTTAGTCCTATTACTTTATTATAGTAGCATTTAATCATTTGATAAACTCTTTACTTCTGTAATCCACCCCTCGACGAGCAGTAATCTAGAGCTGTCGTGCTTTCTCATGCAGTTTTGTAGGATCTGATAGGGTTTTATGCACTGAACTAAATAATCTTTAATGGGATAGTTCACCCAAAAATGAAACAATTCTGTCATTGCTATTGTTGTTTGATTCAGTAGTTGATGACAAAAAGAAAAGTTTATCAGTAGAGTGTCTATACTGTAAGAATGCTGGGTTCCACACAATACATTTGTGTTGGGACAACATAAAGGAATTAAGTTAATGTAACAATTCAACTTTTTTAAATAAGTAGTTTGAACAAACAGCAAATGCCATTTTTTGAGTGAATAAAATAAAAACACTATGCTTTGTTACAGATGTGACTTACTGACATCATATATCTCAAATTATATTGACGATTAAATAAAGTTTGCTATATACCTTTAACTGCCCCAACAAGAAAAAAATTTTTTAACTCCTAATGTCGCTAGTTAACACACTCAATGCATTCTTTTTCAACACATCCCATCATTTCTAAAATATCAACCTCTACCAATTGGCAGTTTATGGTTAAAGTACAGAAATTAATACATATCGTCACCTTGGAGTTATAAGGTTCTATCTGCGTTCTGAATGATTTTGAGATACTGAGCATAGTGCATAGCATAGTGTCTAACATTTGTTTTTTAAATAAAGTCTTAAAATGTAAACAACTTATTAAAAAAAAATAAGTTGTCAATTAATAAGAATATGTCAATAACTCAATTTGGACAAAAATGTCAGATAGAACTTTATAATTCTAAGGTGACGATATACTATAAAAACTTTGAAAATATGGAGTGTAAGACCAAATCATTTAAAAACAATCAAAATAAAACATTTTTGAATACTAAATCACCTTTATTTTTGAAGTATGCCATAAAATATTTCAGATTCTCATTTAACATGTTTTGTTGTTGTTTTACAATAAAACCAAAATCAAGTGTAGTAGTACAACTTGATTATGTTTGTTTAATTTTTTTTTTTAAACTATCTTTTTTTTTTTTTTTCAAACCATGGTCAATGGTAGAGCAGGCAAAGGGATATGCTATGTCGCCTAATGTAGTTTGGCAATTCCCTTTTCACGTCAATTCGAAACTTTTTAATTTAGTGCACTCAAATTACTACATATTTAAATGAGTTGAAATGACAATTCCTCTTCCTACATATTCAAATTGAGTTGTAACGTTGCAATTGCTAAGGTTGTTGGTGTACAACTTAATTGTTTTATGTTGAATCCACGTAAAATTGTTTAAGATAACTTTGATTAGTGTTGGTTCAACATGGAGGAATTGCGTGTAACCCAGATTTTTTTACACTGTGGCTAATTCATATGAATTTTTATGATCTCATTTATACGATTTGCTCATCCCCCAAAGACGTTTGGGACTGAACTCGTATGAATTTGTATGAATAGCCACTAAACTGACAAAACTAAAAATAGTTACATTTCCTCGTGAGATCAGGCTGGAAAAAATAATTCCATCATTATTTTACTACACTTCTGTCATTCCAAACCTGTATTGACAAAATATTTATTGAAGAATGCTGATAACCACACAGTTTTATTCTCATTTCATTGACTTTTG